CACAATGTTTCGACCATGAGTTTTGGTCCTTATCAAGTGAAAGTATCTTAATTAATTAATATATAATGAGAAAAGAAGAAATCACAATGTCAAGATTTCGTCATGTCAACCTCCCGATCAAACACAAAGAGAAAGACACACATGTTTAAAACACATGTCTTTCTCTTTGTGTTTGATCGGGAGGTTGACATGACGAAATCTTGACATAGTGATTTCCTCTTTTCTCCCTATATATTGGTTAATTAAGATACTTTCACTTGATAAGGACCAAAACCCATGGTCGAAACGTTGTGATTCTTCACCAACCAATAAATTGTGATCGATTTAAATTACGTTATTTTATTTTATCTACTGGCGACATTCAAGAATTTAATATTATATAATAAATATCAATTTTATTAGAGTAAAAATTTTAGTTGAAGCGATATAATAAATTTAGATATTAATCATTTATCTTTTATAACGTTAAATTCAAATTATCATTTATAAAAGATATATAATTATATAATTTTCTTCAACACAAAATTATTCTTTTGTCCTGTCTATGGATGTTATAAAGAGTTTCCTTCCGGTATATCTGACAGGCTATTAATTCCAAACCCATACTTGTCCGATCAATCTGACGAGGGATTGAAACGCTTCGACGGTCACTCGTCGTCGTCGTCGTTTCAAAGAGCGGGGAGGAAAGAGGAAAGCCATTTCTCCCGCCGGAAGCTAGACACCCCGAGATCTCCATTTCTATCGACATGCGACGACGTGCCACGTCAGCGCAGATCGTCCACCCTTCTCTAGTTTTTCGTCAGTTCGTACGCCCGTCTGATATTTATTTTCATCGTCGCTCTGTGTCAACGCTACCTCACACACACACGGGCGCTTTAGTGTCTACGAGACACTTGGAACCGATCAAACATATAGATCTATCGACCGACCGATATAATTTAAAGCGGCTTCTGTGCCTGCAGCAGGCAAAATATTTTGCTAACTAATACATTCACAGACGATGATAGCAAGGAAAATTATAGAATGTCGTTAAATGTCACTTATCTGTTTTCATTCGCGAAAAAAACTTTTGATTTAATTATGCGCGATATAAATTTATAATTATATGAAAATATACGCACGTGTATATATTTTAATTTTCTCTTTACGACCTAATTATTTGATTGAAAGGATTATAATTATTTGACTATAAAACTATATTTAACTAACAAATTGTATTACCTATACATAATATAATTGTATAGATGATATAATTATGTTATTACATAGATAATATATATAATTATGTTATATAGATAATAAGATTTGACAGTTAAATATAATTTGACAATCAAGTAGTGATAAAGAGAAAGAAAATGTGTCTCGAAATTATTAGGTAGCTTCTGTGAAATGGTGTAAGTCTTTCGCGTTAATACATCAAGTTTGAAGCAAGAAGACCTATTCATATTTAAAATGGGCGTGTCGCAGAGCGGATACACCGGAGGTTCATTGCACCATTTGCTGCCGTGATCGCCATTTACCACGAAATTATAGACCGAACGATCCACACGGCAAAGTCAATCGAGCGCGTTGATTAACATCATAAGGCTATCTTTAGGATGAAAACCATGCATGGCAACATATCGACAGGCGGGGCTTAGTGCATAACAATTTTCTCAATCGCCCTTAAAAATATAGTTGACAATCTTTATCACTTTGTAACGTCTTTAATCTCTAATCGCGCGATTTAATCTTATTTTGAACCTTCTCCTTTGAAAAACGTTCGTCCCAAAAAAAATATCCCATTATTACATTATCGGATTATTTTAATTATCCTGCAAATTATTGCCTATAAATAATGTCTTGTCCGGATAACTTCGAGCTTAATAATAACATATTTTACTAGTAAAATATTTTTCTCACGTGCATTTCTTTCTTATTTTTATTCAATTTTAATTTCTCTAATAGATCTCTATTATTTATTTATTTCCATACAAATTTCAACAATATCTCCTTTGCAATTTGCTTGTAACGCTCTTTGCTTCTCAATGACTTAAAATTAATATACCGTTTAAATAGAGAAATGTACTTGAAACGCCCACTCGAAAAAGCTTTTGCCCGACGACGCCGCTCGTACCTTATTCAGTATACAAGTCTAACGTGCACAAATAGAACACCGTTTTCCATGGGACATTAAACACATTACGGGATCATATTTTGCACAGATTAAGCATACACGCAGACGTACGGATGTCGGGAAATCTCAAGCCGCGCGAGTGTTTCGAAAATTTTCCTCGGGCCATCAGTCTCGCGTATAAAAGAGCGTCCGTGCTTCGACGAGAGGGTGGGCGGTGGCGGAAGGTGGTATTTGCGCGGGCCAAACGACCTAAATAGAGAACAAACAGCGAGGGTGCACACATAGAGAGAGAGAATAACGCGAGGGAAAAAGGGAGGAGAGGGCATCGGAGATCGGGGGGAGGGTGGGAAGCGAGAGAAAAGGGAGGAAATGGCGCGCGTTACGGAGAAATGGCGCGGAAACTGGGGATAGTGATGGGCAATGGGCGACGGTCGACTCCTCTAACCGAACGAAAACTTGAACCGGAGGAGAGATCGTGGGAGGACACGGCCATTCTACGCGAGAGATCCCTGCGAGAGCCCGTACCACAGCGGGTACCACCGGTAGAAGGGGGCGCACAAAGGAGGAAACGAACTAGGATATCCAAGGAACGGGAATCGCGCGAAAGGGGACGAAAGGAAAGGCCGGAGGAGCCATGTGAAATCCGCCGCTGGAAGGAAGAGACCGTCGGTCTTTTACTCTCGATCCGGCCCCCCCTTTCTTTATCTTTCTTTTCCTTTCTTTGCTCCGTGAACTGCGCGCGGAAACTGTTCGCGGGATTAAACTAACTTCGTCGACCTGCTGACGGCTCCCCCGGAATTCCTATCGCGGAGACCAGTAAGGACCTTCTGCTCTTAATGGACCGCAAGTAATGAACCTCGCTGTTTTGTAGCTGGTAATTTGACCTTGAGATTAATACAGTTGCTTCTCGTTAACTCGCCTCGATCTGAACCGCTCGCGTTTTCTACGCGACATTTTTTACATAAATTTCTTTTAATTTTTTTAATTTTTTTTACATCAATACACATCTCTCTCGCAGTCGCTAATTTAAATTAGAAATTAAAATGTACTAAGAATTTTATGTGATAATTTAAAAGCTTTGTAACATGTAATTATCGGAATAATAATTTTTGAAATAGCTAAATGAATATATAGAAGAGACGGCAATGAGAAATAACTAATCGAATTTGAATAATTCTGTTAGATTTCTTTGAACCATGGTCAGGTACCATAGCCCATATGGTAAATGTGCCGGCATCTAGCGGTAATCATGATAACTTGTCAGTATTGTTTCTATTCACGATCAAGAAATAATCTATGAGAAAGAAAAAATAATATTTCCAATAAAAATATAACAATGAAATATCTATTAAACAGCAATCTATATAAATAACTACGTAGTATGAATAGTTAATCGTCTCGAAACAGATGTTCAAATGTAGTCAACAATACACGTCACCTATATCATACAATATATTTAGAGATACATATCGATACAATTTAAAATTTACGATAATAAAATGTTATGATATATGTATCTAATAAATTATCGCTCGGTTAATATAAATTTTTTTTATTAGTCCTCTTCAGTGAATTGATTATATTTCATGTATCCGAGCGAAGCATATATATTTTCATATATTTAAAATACGTTTTTGATTTTCCGATAAGATATAATATATATGAGAATAATTAAATCAATTAGACAAGTTTCATTAATCCTCGTGAATAGAAACATTATGAGAAATCAAATGTGTTCATATTTTTGATTATTTTATATAAATTTTCCTAATCTCTCCTAATCAAAATTTTTATGGAAGAATAATGTAAAAACCTTAATACATTATTGCAGATTCAAAGTTTTACATAATAATATCTGCAATTTAATATTCGCAAATTATTATTATTATCTTAAGATTCAGATAAGAATTTCACTCACCATTACGATGCGACGGTGGAGTTGTAGAAGACATCAATCTGTAAAATACAAATATATCTAAATTATATAAAGCATTGTTTAAAATAAGTAAATATAATAAACATAATAAAAAGATTATAAATTTAAATTTTTAATGTGTAAACAATACTAATAAAATAAAAATATTTTATTATTATAATATTTATCATTAAATAGTTTAGAATTTTGAACAAGAGATCTCTGTTTACAAAATTTTATTTTGCACGCCATATATTATACAATGATATAAATTATACAATATGAAGTTAAGCGCACAATTAATTTTATAAATTACGGACAATAAATTACCAAAATTATAAGTTGCTCGCACGATTAGTCTGTCGTCGATATCTCCTAAATTTTTTTTCCTGTTTTGTTTGTCTTTTCCTGCCTGTCTTCCTCGAGACACTCACATGACACTTATTTACACAATACAATAGTTATGATAATTAGAAAATACAATAGTTATGATAATTAGTTACGCCAAAGATGTCAGCCGAAGATGAAGATTGTCCGACGTTTTACAACGTATTTTTTTAACCGCATATATTACGCATTTTATTTTATATACGAGGTGAACATTACAATTTTACCTAAATATAACACTGAAAAATCGTATGAACGAATTTACACGGTATCTCCAATGAATAATACATGTACGAATTATATAGTATTTTACTATCTCACATTATGTAATAATTAATTTGACAAATATAAAGAATATAGAATAACTCGCGAAAATTTATTTTATAGTAGTTAAATATTTCGTCTTGTTAAATATTTTATCTTTCAACAGCTTTTTATCGTTACACGGCGCTCACCTTGCGACGAATGGTATATAATTGTTTACATACCTTGTCATTCGGCTGGGAGGGGGAACGTAGCGCCTCGCGTCGCTCCGTTTATTATTATCTCTCAAAGTATGATCGCGACAAGTACTAAGTGATATCGAACGACCGTTGCCTATAAATATTTGAAGGTTATAACCAGTGAATATTCTTTCGCGATTACGTGTCTTATAATCAATTTAATATAAAATAAAATGAGTATCGTGTGTGATTAAAATGTGCGCCGAAAGTATGCTACAAAGTAGATTGTCGATCGTTATTAATGATATTTCTGCGAGTGAGTGTGTGAGTGCCATGTGAAGAGACAGCAAGGGATAAGCAAAGGATAAGAAGAGAAGGAAGAGACGCACGGGGAGATGTCGAGCGACGGCGAGCGACCATGGGGTGAGTGATTTTATTAATTTATATTTTCTTATTTGCGAAATTAATTGCTTGTCCTTATCTGAGTAGTGATTTATTAGTTTACATCATGTAGAAAATACACAAACTAAAATATTGAAGATTTCTCCCATCTTAAAATATTTATAATTAATAATTTATATATATATATATATATATATATATATATATTTCATAAAATAAATTTGTATAAAGATTATAAAATATATATCCAGATTAGTTAAAGAGAGAAATATTCAAAATAATTAATATCTTTAAAAATAATGATTATATATAATTAAATTTTTATTCCCTTTAATAATACATGCTACGTGAGGATATATTTCCATTTTTAATATTAATTTTTTATTAATTGGTAGAAGCATTTAATAATTTCGAAATATCCAATTAATGGTCGTGGAAAGAGTAATATGCACACGCCACTGCATATGCTTATCAACAAGTTATTTATGTGACGAATTTTTTATTTCCATCACGCGTGATGACTTAAAATTATTATTATTATATCGTGAATTGCGGATACGTGCCTTGCCTATAGTGTTGCGAAATAAGACTGCGCGACATATGATGAAGGTCTTTAAACGCTGCAGATCGTAACGAAGCGCCGCAAATGGCGATAGATTAAATTAAGATTACAAAATGAGCCAATTATAAATTAATTGCATGCAGTAGCGCTACGGTAGCTCGATATGGGCTTTAATATCCGATTATGTCTTAACAATATATCGAAGATGCGATCTCTCGTCAATTCCCCGTTTTTCGATATGATTAATATCTTCGCGGACAGAAATGCCAGTCAATGATTTTCCTGTCTATTTTTTGTCGAGATTGAAGATAATATCGACACTGTCATAAAAATAAATCTAAGTATGACACATAGGTTTTCTTGGCATAATTGCTTTAAAAATTACTGCTTAACGTTTTATTAATTATATTATATTATATTCTTATTAATTATACATTTTTGTATATTTATATAATCATAAAAATAATTAATTTAAAAAATTAATGGCATTTATACATATTTTTCAAGAATAGCACATTTAAATTTATGTGCATATATTTGGCAAAATTTCTATATAATATTCCTATATAATATTTTAATGTAATCGGAGAAAGATAAAAAAATAGCACGAAATACTTTTCATAGAAATACATATGAGTCAAGACAGGAGAATCCTATGATACTCTACCGAAACATTGTTCGTGCATTACGGTTTCCCTTGAATCTCCTGTTCATAGTATTATCATGGACGTGTCCTACCCATAAGTGCAAACTCTCCATGCGGAAGGACTGAGAGGTTTTTGTGATGCAAGCTAGCACCAAAAGTAACGTAGAGTTTCTGAGGTAGTAATTACTTGCTAGCCGACGACAAGAGAGTTTGCAGTTGCGGCGAACTATAATAATTACGAGATGGCACTGTTACTTCCGTCTAGTTTAGTCGCAATATTTTTTTGTAGGTGATAATCATTATATACACAGTTCGCGTTTGTATTCGCCAATGATGCGTGTACGTTTATGTGTGTCGGAAAAAAAATAAAAAAGATTTATTACCAATTAAAAGTGGCAAAGATGGCAAATAGGAGCCGAAACGCGATGATCAGAAAGCGAGAAAAAAATGTCTACTTTTAATATATTACAAAATATTTAATTTTGTTAAACAGTATATATTAAGTATGCAATTAGTATATTTAATAGGATATTTAATTAGTATATTTTATAATACATTAAAAATAAAAATTTACTTTGAATCCCCTTCTTTTCCTTTTATTTAAGATTTATTTATTTCACTAAAAGTACAAAAAATATCTCGGGTCATAAGCGACAATACGTACAGGAAAACAAGTATATCGATTTGAAGCAAACATATAAATTTCTGATATTTGTTATAAATAATTGCAATGTCATTTAGAGTGCGAAACTTGAATGATTAATTTCTTATATTCAGCATGAAATTAATCACTGTGGCGCATAATTTACTCCAGAATTTCATTGGACGTGAAACGCTGATAACCGTTTAACGTTTTGACGCTATCGTGTCATTGAAATACCTTTTATCGTATAAAGACTTGTGACCAGTGATATTCAGGATTTTCATAAACATTCGTTAATATCTTTTTCCGTTTTGTGTGTAAAAATACTAAAAATTTCCCCAATTAATCAAGTTTAATTACAAACATTCCTCTTGTCTAATCTTAAAAAAAAACCGCTAAATCATTGGCTTTAGTGTCTCAAGAGCACATAAAAAAATTTCGCGCAGTTATATTTCTCCTTAATTTTAATGTCAATTTATACCTCAATGAGTTACATAAAATATAAATGCTTAGATAACAATAAAAAATATAGCCATAATATTTATCTATAAACAAAACTCTATAATGTATAAAATTATAGAAAAATATAGAAAAATACAGAATATTTTTTGTAAGCCATTCTCTCCGTCTTAAATCCACCTTAAACAATTTATAATTCGTGACAAAATTCAAGATATAATTTTACTTATAATTTTATGTGTCACATGTCTTAATGCATATTTTAATATACATATTTTATATATTTTACTTATTCAAATGTTTTCTTATACGACACGAAACAATACAAATGGAAACCTTGCCCGAATTTTGTCGCAAATTATAGTGGTCTATAGGCGATGGTATAAGAAAATATACCAATAGAGCAGGCTATTATCTAGAAGAAGTCTGTATACTTAAACGCGCATACACTTTTTAGCTACAGACACGCTCCTCTTTACAGCAGGGTATAGTGGTGCAGACGGCGCTAATGTTCGCCGTTACTCACGATTCTCATTTGCAAGATTGCCTATACATCTCGCGGCATCCTATCACGACCTATCACGTTCTTCTATACAGGTTGATTCGTGTATAGGTAACATAACGGGTGTACCAAAATTTTGATTTGAACTTTTTCTTTGTAACAAATCTGTCAAAAATATGATGTCTATTAAAATATTTCTATAAAGCTCTAGTAAATTATTCAGATGCGAATACACATAAATATAAATGTATATTTTATAATTAATTTGGGTTAAGATTTATCACTATATACCTAGTTTATATTTAATTTATAGCAAACGAGAGCATATATATAATCGTAAATAATTGTTTAAAAGTTACAGAATTTGTGTCGTTTTTTTTTCTCGTAAATACGTAGACACATAATGTAGTTTTAACGCGAATGCGATCATCTTCGTTTCGAAAACAAATTCGAAGGTAAGAAACATTGAGAAAAAAATGCATTTTCACGGTAATATTAATCAGATGGGATACCTGACCTTGCGTATATTAGGCAATTTGCTTCATCCCTCTGATAAGTTTGGTGAGATACAATACATTGTCATAAAAACATCATTGTAAAAAAGTCAACAGCATCCGCTAAAATTGCCGTAAAAAAGTCGAGGTTATATTTCGTGGCGGGTAGCTACGTTGGTGCGATAAAAAACCGTTCAAGGGAGAACAATGCAAGTAGAAAACGTTGCGTAAAAGCCCTTTTGTGGATTTTTTTAGCCTTCGCTTGCAGGAACAATGTTTCTTTGATTATTTAAGTCTATAATAACTCTTGGCGTGATTTTTTCGAATCTGAGAATTGTTTTTTTTTTTATTCTTTTAACCTTCGATCTTTGACTTTCTTGTAAATTACGATATTGTCACACCTGTTCCACTAAGCATTCAAATGTAAAGAAATTTTATTAGATTTTATTTAGATAGGAATTTTTCTAAATTGGAAATGTAGTTTCCAATGTAATCATTCATCTTTTATATTATTTCTTAATCTTATAATCTTACAAAAAATGTAGAAAAATTATATAAAATTATATAAAAAGTTATACGTGTATATAAGGAGAATTAATTAAAGTTATAGAATTATTAATTAGTTATAGAAATTTCTATTTAGCGATAATACATATAATTATTCAATTTTTTCTTAAATTTATAGCGATAAAACTGCGTAGTGAAATAAATAAAAAGAAATAAATTGAATATACATTATTATTGTAATACATTTTTTGTAAGAATATAGATTAAGAAATAATTTAAAAGATCCTTTAAAGTATTTTTTCGATTTGTGAATATATTTGAATGCAAAATATATTTTCTGTCTTGAAAATAAGAACTTGTAGATAAATATGACTTTTATTTCTTTTTTTTTTTGTAAACCGACGCTATGAGACGGTAAAAAAACGATATTACAATAATATCATAATATAAGTATAAGAGGATATCTACCATTTATAGTCGATTGTCTCATAATTAGCCCGCTGTCTCATAATAAAGTAGTTTCTTGCAAAATGGTTGCGCTAAATCAGTAAAGTAACACATAAGAACTGATGCTAGCTAATTAATAATAAATTCCAGCAAACATATTTTTCAAATAACAAACAAATACATAGAAAATATATAAAGGAGATATATCCCTTTCTCGTTGATGTAGTAGTTATAGCCTTGACTAGTAACTCGGCTTATTTTAACATATGATTACCTGGGAGTCTGCGAAAAAATCAGATGTTCGCGAGTACAATCATCGATTTAGAAAAGCGCTCATTAGCTACGATTAATTATCGTACGAATAATTTCGATGCTATTTAAAATTTGCATTGATGAGATAAAGCTTGGATAGGCGCACGCGCGATAAATACCGGTAACATTAGATACATCGATTCGACATGTACGTATGTTAAGTATTACACTAGTCTTCCGTATGTACGCGAGTTATTTAAATGCTAAAGTTTCGAACGTCCACGATGTAAATGAGAGACGGAATCCTTGCGCATAATTTTGTTACTGATTATAGTTAAGTTTCGCGCGTTATGAATTTATATACACCCTGTGCAACGTTTGAATTATTCAGAACTTATTTTACTTTTAAACCGCTGCGTGCGTAGAGAAAAGAAAAGTCAACATGCACAGCACAAAACTCGTATCTTTTTATCGCGCACATTATTGTAAATTCGATTGCTTCGTTCTCG